AGAACTTCAAGTAGAAAACTTGAATTTTAAGTGTATACTGCATAAAGACGAATTAAGTTTAATTAAAATATAGTGTTGGGGATCTGATAGATTATATAAAATTTAAAATAAAAAATTTTCTCGTGTACTCGATAAGAAAAAGAATATTGGTTCCCAATATACTTTAAAAATATTGGGTTTCCAATATTACTATAATATCGGATACCCGAAGGAATCTAAAAAATATCATGCTTCCGATATTACTATTTATTATTATATACCTGATATTAATAAATATCGGATACCTGAGATTAAAACAAAATTTATTGCATAGCTATCGGATATATTATAAAATTTACAAAAGTGTTATCGGGCCTTTAAAAAAAATATACAGATATCAGGTTCCAATATATATAAAAATATTTTATGTGCCCAATAATTTTCTGATAATCACCAGATATTTGAAAATATCAGGAGGCCAATAGGTATGCAATAGATATCCGATATTCGAATTTTGACTTGTATAAACCTTTATAAAAATCTCATAGCCTTGCCTCTTTCGAACAAATCTGCAATATCTAAATCCTTCAAACATCATACATTTTTAGTATAAATTAGTTAGTAGTTTATTATACTTTAGTTTAACTACTGTACCTTTAGCTAATAGTTATTGTATCCCTTGAAGGTTAGATCATAGTCAACAATATATTTAGAATCTATTTATAAAAGAAAATATTTTTCTCAATTATATGAACAGATTTATTTAATTTTTTTTATAGTTAAAGGAAATTGATATTTTGCAATAACAATTTTATTTTTAAATTTTTTTTAAATTCAAAATTAAACAAATCTATCTATATATTTCTTGATTTACATAAGTATCACATGATATAATTTTAGCCAATCAGAATTTAAGAAATATATTTACATATTTATTTAGAATTATGAATTTTATTTCTTTACTTTTAAAACTTTTATTTAATATAAAATATCTGAAATCATTGGAAATCTTTTTTTCAATCAAATTTATAATGGTTTTTTATTTTATTATATTCTTAAATTTGATGAATATAATTAAAAATTGATCAATTTTTATTATAACAAGTTTTTATTATAGAAATTCTGCACTATATAAAAAAAAAGTATAAAAATTGTTCAAATTTAGAATTTAATTAGTTTCTATAATTTAGTTATTTTAATTTTTGAATATTCTACATATTTAAAATTTTTAGCATTTAATTATATTTAGCATTGGCAATTTTAAATTTCTTGAAAATTATAATAATCATTTACTTTTATTCCACTTTATTTATATTTTAATCAACTTACCAAATCAACTCAACTCTTTCTCATTCATGAAAGAGAAAAAAAAACTTGAAGGTTCAATTAAACAAATCTTCCAATAATATTTCTTATTATGTTACTTTAGCATTGGGCGGAATTGTCTCATTGTAAATGTCGATCATTTGATAAAAATTATCAGAAATGATCTGCAGGAATCTGTTTACTATAATTTTAATTTACAATCCCGAATTACTTTAAACCATCTGCTGAAGAATTTGATAAAATGCAAAAAAAAAAATTTAATTTTTTCAAGTATGGATATTGATATTTGATATTATAATAATTATGCTAAATTGATATTAAATGATATTGTATTTGTACTAGTGTTTTTGAAGGAGAAAATAGTCAAATAATGTAATGTTTCCGAATTGTCTGGTTTTCTATAGATACATATGTCTTTTTTTGATGTTCTTTTGTGAGTTAACATAAAAATTTAATTTCGACAATATATGATATCAAATATTTTGAAATTACCTCTTAATTCTTAACTTTTTGCATATTTTCTCTTCTTCATCTCGATCTCTGTTTTTCTTTATTTGGTCATTCTACATTTTCTAAATCCTGTTGTGAAATATTCATCAAATGGATAATAGGATAAATTGGTTTATGGGTTCTTTTATATTTTTAAATCATTTACACTATTTTTTTGTTCAAAAATTTAATCGTAATCCGTACGGGAATCAGAATCACATGATCAAAATTAATAGGGCAGTTAATCATAGTAAAATAGAGATTTTTTTCGAAATCTCTTTTTCCTTGGTTTCCGTGTCCTTTAAAAACAAAAACACAACTACTTTCAGCTTGTAAACTTATCCCAGAACTTCATCACAACCTATATGCAATAAATTAGTGGTTTTTTACTAACAAAAAACTATAGTGACGAAAAAACAAATATGAAAGTCCAAATAAAACTTAAAACCAAATAAAAATTAATAACAATTATTAACATTGGACAAGATTAATATTATTTTAGCTGAATTACCAAATTTTCTGAATTATAAAAACCAAAATCTCGCTTTTCTTATAAAAGTTTGCGAAGAATTTCGTCAGCTCTTTATCTATCACATGCCAGATTTTTTTAAGTTGTACAATATTTTTCGTCGAATCAAATTTTACTATAATGATCGCCCAAAAATTTGTTTCTTATTAGTTTCGAAAAGAAGTTAAATAAAAGGGAAATAAATGAAGTTTTTTTTTTTTTTTGAAATGTAAATGTTTAAATAATGAGATTAACAAAGAGGAAAGGAATAATTAAAAGAAACTGAAAGTAAACTGACAATATCTTTTACTCTAACAGTGACAATTAATATCGTGAGTCAAAAATAAAAATAATTCACTTAATATTTATGTTTATTAAATTTAATTTGGAAGCTTTACATACTTAGAGACCATAAAAATCATAATAACATAGAATTATTACGCAAAAGTAATTGTAATAAAATAATCTTCCAAAAAATTATACTTCATATTTCATTATTTTGGTTGTACCTTGCCAACGATATTCTCCTCGACAACGACTTGAATATAAATATAAAGAATAAAATGTAAATTTGACACATTCATTTTTAATGGAATAAATTAAATAAATGGAATAAATGGAATAAATGGAATAAATGGAATAATTAATAAATGAATGACTCACCATGAGTGTTTTGTTTAGAATTGGTATCGTCGCTAATACTGTATTTCTTTTCGCTTATAATGGCAGTGATGATACCTTCTTTTACTTGAGGGTCACTATTAAGTCTGTATTTAACTCTTTCTGAGGAATTAACAAAATTATGTCAAAAATTATGTCAAAAATTATGTGTCAAAACTGGCCGCGGAGAATGGGGAGGAAAAGAATACCGTTAACTTGATACTTAGTCATGTTACAAATTTATACGAAAATGGTATCTTTTGACAAGATAAAGGAACTCGAGACTGAAAAGACAAACCACTTAAATATTATTCAGTTCAAAATCCCATGATTGTGTGAGTTGTACATTTTTAATTTTTTTTTAACGATTAGCAAGATCACGTAATCAATGTTTATTATAAATCCATAAGCCGCAAGCGACACACATAAATTATTTAATATTAGATAATCAATCAGGGGCAATATATGCTGACAATGACAATAAACACGCGTTTTTCCAAATTCGTATACAAAAGAAAAAATTGCCGACTTTACACAAAAACCAAATTTTATTAATAATATTTCTATTTTTTTTTACGCCGCGATGCATGGTATCTTTATCATATGATTATATCTGGGAACAGATTTACCCTTTCACTAAGGATATTGTCTTTTATTATTATTTGTACGATTCAAATTCACGTTCTTTTTTTCATTAATGGTATAGTCCCTTTATCTATTTATTTTTCATATATTAACAAGGCGCAAGACGCGACACAAGGACACAACACAAGACGCGATACAATAAAAAGAAATTAATAAAAAGCCACCAATTGTTACAAAACTTCAATTTGTTTAACCTTATTGTCTAATGTGGTATGTTGCATTTGCATCGCATGATAAAGAAGATAAAGAAGATAAAGAATATAATTTAATATGTACATATTAATAAAGTCGCGTTTTTAAAATAATTCTACGAGAATATTTTTATTGATAATATGAATATTACTTCCTAGCATAGGTTTACACTTTATGATTATTTTATTATTTCGTATTTTATTTTTTTTTTTATTTTTAGCTTATTTAACAAAATCCTTCTTTTTAATCGTTGAATATATTTAATATGAATTTTCTAATTTTGTTTAATATAGGATTTATTACAGTATGATATGTCAAAAAAGTCGTCAAATTTAATTACTACATTAATATAGTAAAGGCATTATAGCGATAGCAATTCGTTTACAATAATTATCAAAAGATATTTTGTCCATCGAGTTTAAGTTTTATTGTAATGTCACAAAGTATTTTGTCCATCAAGTCTAAGTTTTGCTGTGATATCACAAAGATCAATTACTCTATAATGTCCGTTATTGAGTTTAATGTCATCAATATAAATTTCAGGAATACCTTTGAGATAAAGAAAACCTGGTTATGTAATACTTTGAGGTTTAAGATTCTATTCTCATCAGAAACAAATACGCCAGGTAGAAGGTTGGGAAGGATGGAAAGACCAAGACTTTAGGAAGTTCAACAATGAAAAATAAGATCTTTTTTTCACGTTCTTAGCTGAAAATGGAACGAAACCTCTTTCATTTGTTTTAGCTGGAATGGAACAAAGGTAGTATCAACAAAATTAAACAGGGAATATTGAAAAATTTCTTGTATAACACGATCGAAATTTTAATTAAATTATTGTTACCTTTTTTAGTTTGAAAGAATTGGCTTAATTATACCATGTTTGGAAGTTTCGAAATATCAGATCAGGTAAGAAAATCAAATATATTATTTTATATTTGAAGTAACAGATAGTCTTAACTGTGCTGTGTTGAACAAGAACACCAACGTGACGTGAGTTTCAACTTGCAAATTAAATTGATTTTCAACTTACTAATAAATGAAATTATTGTACCTCTTAAAACGGAATACTACAGATTTTACGGGACGCTTTAAGCATATCTAAAATCTTAATCATTGTTTACATTGGAGTGGAACACTAGATATAATGCAAATTTCACTTTTGTAAACGTGAATGAAGTAAGTGATTTAAAACATAAATTAGCAAATTATTTTTAAAAATTTTTATTAATAAATATTAACATATAATATAAAATTCTTATCTAGATTAAAGCTCCTAACGGGTCAGTTTGTTTCGGTTTTGATTATGAACTGAAGCCGTACCGAAATTTATAAACTGGTTCGGTTTGGAACCAAAATTAAAAAACTTCAATCCGAAACCGAATTGTACCGGTCCAAAATGGATCAAAATTTTGCCATACATCACTGTTACAAGTAAAGCTCCCAATGTAACCGTTCGGTCAGTTCCAATACTGAACTAAAAAAATAGTTCAAAAGGTTTTTTATAGTGTAATAAAATTCGTTAATTTTTTAATTAAATTAAATTAAATTAATATTAAAAATATATTGATTAATTTATTTTTATTTCAGGAAACGGTTCTCAATGGCAACGAAAAAAAATGACAACGGTAAATAAATTAAAATCTGATTACCTTTTTTTTTTGTATTACGTTAATTGATTTTCATTTTAGGATGGCTGAAAAAAAAAATAACATATGAACAAAATATTTCGGTTTGGCTAAAGAAACCGAACTGAACTGAACGGGAATCTTTCGGTTTGGATTTTAATTAACTGATACTGAACCTGAACCAGAACAAGCCGTTCGGATTCGGTTCAAACTGAACGGTCAGAAACTTTAATCTTGATAAAACTCTAATAAAAGTCCAAGGGATAGATAGTATCACTTAATCAATAGAAAACAATTATTATTATTTTTTACAGTTAAAGCCTCTGGTTTATTGGTTGGTTGTAAATTTAATATATAACATATTTTCAATTTAAGAAATTATCTAACCGGTGACGTGCGTCTTCCACTGTTATAATGACTGTAGATATTGTAATAAAGAATTGAATTTACATCTCGATTTTAAAAAATAGAATTTTTTAAATTTTATTTCATATTCTTCACGTGTCCAAATTTATATGTATTCGAACATTCGAACATTCGAAAGTATTTCCCGATATGAACACAATGACATTCTGTTACCCTGGTTTTGGTTAGGTATTACAGGTAGTTATAGGATCGACCAATAGAATATAAATCAACTATCACGTGGGTTAGGTCCTACGGACCTAAAATAGGAGTTGAGTACACTGTTCAATGTTGTAAGGGTCAAGGACTCAATAGTTAAAAATTTTAGGGTTAGGATTAATCATGTATTAGAGCACTTGTACACATTTGTACTGTACATAAATCATCTGTTTGAACGGACTTTACACCTTTACCTACCACCCAATAGTGCCTTGCATATATGATATTTATTATATTTTGACTGTTTATTATATCGTGCAAAGTAAAAAAAAAAATTATTTTATTGTATATGGTATATAATATTATTTAATTAAATTTCTTATTATTATTAATTATTAATTATTGTTATTATTATTGATTATTATTAATTAGTTCACTAGAAGCAATTGGATCAAAAAAAGACATGTCAAATATTTTTAATATTTTTAAATTTAAATATAAAATTATTTGAACGCGAATTTTACTTAGACACGACATATCGGATAATGATATTATAAATTTTTATTATCGTTAAATGTACAATTGAGTAAAATTACAAAAAACGTACACCACAATTTTCGATATATTAACAAAAGATGAGATGTGGAGTAATATTTTATACTGTGTACGATCAAATTTGTACACATTACTCAACTCGATTTTAGGTAGTACACCACTCATCTGACTCATCCGGTCGAATTACCTGAGAATAGTTAGTTATGATTTGTACTCATCAAATTTTTTTTTTAGATTATAATAATTATTACATCAGATCGTTATTTAATAATTACGTACATCGTACATCAGTTTATTATCAGAACCTGTCCGTTAAGTCTATTATCAAAAATGTCTTTCAAGCAAAAAAGTTTCCACTCTCAAAACATCTTTTCGAAATTTAGATTCTGCAATCTTATTATAAACTTGTTTTTTTTATTTTATTTTATAAAAATCACCAATGCATACGTTATTAATTCTGAACTTGCAAGAAATACATCACAAAATGTTGAAAAGAATAAGCCGCTAAAAGATAACGAATATGCGATGAATGTAGTTTTACCTATTACTCTCCTTCACGCAATTCCTGCGTGGTATCTTATATTTACATCCTGTAGAGTTGCTACTATTCACAATTTTTTATTCATAATCGAATATTTCGTATCATGTTCTTCCATTTCTTATCTTTGGATACACTTTCTTTATGAAAAATACAACTATATAATGGTCATTGGATTATTCTGCTACTTTTTATTTACTTTTGATGTGTTATTAAATATCTTCACCTCATATGCAAGAGTTGGATTACGATCATTACTTACTGATGACGCCTCGGTCCACAATACCTTAACAACTAATAATAATTTAATGGGATTAATTGTTGCTTTCGTCTTTATCGTTCATTTTTATTTCTGGGAGAATAATTTAACCATCAAAGATAAATGGTTTTTTGCTACTTTCTTAATTATATCAGCTATATTTATATTTATAAAAGATCATACCGAGAATATTTTAAGTTATATATTCTCGTTAATTTTCTTCAGTTATCTAATTAGTAGATTTAATCAAATAGATAGAAATTTTAAATTGAACTTGATTACAATATTTGTAATTGGATTCCATCACTTTGTGTATGTAAAATATGAAAGAACTTTCATGATAATGATGTGCCCATTTGTATTATTTATGTTACTTCTGTATAATGGTGATTATTCATAATTTACTTTTTTTTTTTTTACTTCTTTATTTTTATATATACAGTATATATATATATATAAAATAAATACATTGTTTCTCTAATAAATGAAAATGTTAAATAAATTAAATTAACGAATTGGAAAAATTTTATTCATAACAATAAACTATACAACAGAGTAAATATGAATATTTTTAAAAGTTAATCTTGAATGTAACCTCCTTGTATGGCTTCTTTGTCTCACTATCACAAGCCGTTGCCTTGATTTCCATCAACCCAAACGTTAAAGAAAATTCTATAGCTCCGGATTTATTATATTTCATTGGATTATTAATATTCAAACTTCCAAGAAATTTCATTCCAGGTTCATCACAATATCTTGCACCTCCTTTCTTATGAGTATAATATACATTAAATAATATAGTTGGTTGATCAAAACGTAAAGGAATAAATTTTCCAAAAAATTTCTTTTTTACTTCTGTATTGGAACCACGAGTGGCCAATAGATGAAATTTTTGTATATATCCATCAGGAGTACGTCGCTTTTTTGGATCTCTACCTGGTACATGAGGATTAACAACTGCAATCCCATAAGTCCATTTTAAAATACGATCATTTACTATTTCAATATTTAATCCATACGTAATAGCTCCTCTGACAACTGCTGTAATAGGTGATGATGGAACTGCAATTTGCATATTTTGATCTTTGAAATGTTCTTTGACTTGACGAAGAAGATATTTTGATTCGCTAAATCCTCCAACTAAAAACATTATAGAACATTTTTCATTAGTAGATTTTAAATGATCCGAAATTAATTTGATGATTTTGTTAATTACAGGATCAAACATTAATTTTACTGCTTCGAAATTAATTTTTATAAGCCATCCTTTAGATTCCAAATCAGATTTTACATCTTCAGTAACATATTTTTTTAGATCAGGACAAAATTGTTGTAGATTCAATCGGATGACCCTGAATTCTTTTGAATCACCATTAAATCTATGTTTAATTTTTAAACAGAAAAATTTTCGAATTAATCCTTGTAATTGTGCATAATTATTCTTTTTCAAAGATTCCAATGCTCGGAATCCAACATTTCTACCCAAGAAATTGAGAAATTCTTTGTCTACAAAAGTGCCTCCACATAAATCACCAACTCTTTCAGTTATTTCACTTAATTTATTATCAGGTAAAAGCTTTCTCATTGTTAAATCGATCGTACCACCACCACAATCAACAATTAAAAAAGAATCTAAATGAATTAATTTTTCGAAATCAAATCTTCAATATGAAACACGTGATTATGGTAAACATATAATAAAGTTAATTATATAATTGAATTACCTCCAGGAAGAAGGTCATGTTCTTTGACAATTTTCAAACAATATAAAGCTGCGGCTTCAGCTAAATAAAGTATCAAATATTGTTAAAAAAAATTTTGGAGCATAATTTAAAAATGAAATGTAAAGAAAAAGATTTAAAATTGTTTACGTTCTGTAGTGAATTCAAGTTGAGATGAATTTTGGGAAGTCAATAATCCTGCATTGAAAGCACATTTACGCATAATTGCAGTAGTATTTGGAGGCTAAAATATGATCCTATAATTTTAATAATTCATTCCAAAACGAATAAAATTTTCTGAATAAATTACGTACCCATTCAGCTGGAATTGTCAACACCAATCCAACTTGCTCAGGAAATTTCACTCCAGGCCATCTTGTGTTGAGTGTTCCTTCGATCTCTTCTTTCATTTTTTGTAGATAATCTTGAATGGCTTTTATATAATTAAGTTCATTAGGCAACCAAGGTTTTTCATTTTTATTTAAATCTGAAATATGTAATTTGAAATATTCAATTGGTCGTGTATGTTGCGACTCATAATCCTCCCAATCTTCGTATTCATCGACTAAAGCAGCTTCTCCCCAACGAATAACTTTAGTATACGTTTCATCATATTGAAGAGCTGTAGGAGTTTTAAATACACCTTCACGGCCTTGCCTTTGAAAGTTCATGACATATATAGGTTTACAACAGTAAAAAAAATGTAAATATAAAAACTTGGAGCAAAGATATTATATAAACCAATAATATTGCGCATACCATGAACAATTCGTTTCTATTTCTTTGCTTTCTTTATGAACGTAAGCGAATCCTGAAAAGGTGGTGCCAAAATCTATTGCGACTATAATACGAACATCGTTGAGAGACATTTTAAAGAATTGTTTTTGTATTTGATTTCAGACCAAATATATATATATATATATATATATTATGATATAAATTATATATACAGTTTATTTCAATTAAAAGTTGATTGTTTCCGTATTTTCTAGTTAGCTTTACACAAAATTGCCATTCAAATGCATATATTGTGCCCCATGATATATTTGAAACGATCCAGAATGGGCTTTTTATATAAAGGCTTTGTGTCCAAATTGGGAGGAAACGTGTCTCAAACCCAAAACATAACAACATACTATTTAAGCAAGCGTTACATTATGAGCAATCATAATTCACTTTGTCAAAATTTTTCTTCATATTTTATCAAATAACGAATTTGTCAAAATGCTTGAAAAAAATGATACCTCTCCACCTTCGCCTTCGTCATCACAAACTGCGAAACCAAAACAAAATACACTATTCCGTCGTTTTAGTAATCATAATAACGTAGAATCTGAAGATGTTTCAATTGGGTTTGACTTATTTATGCACATTTGTTCGATCAAAAATTGGTATAATTACCTTCAAATGTTCCTTGTAATCTCGAATTCATATCATAGCTTGCATTCTGATGATTTTGATAAAGATATTATCATAGTGAAGGATTGTTTATATGATTTATATTCTTCAACTTACATTCCAAAAAGATGTAAAGAGATATATGAAGAATTAATAAACGAATATTATGATTACGAAACAAAAAAAAAAACCAGTAAATTAGATAAGTTAATTTCTAATATTTGGGCGGATTTAATTGTTGATGTATTTGAAGGTGAAAAAAAATTCGAAAATCAACTTAAACAATTGGGAAATTTTCAGAAAAATAGATTGAGGAAACTTATGTTAGGTAAACTGTCGAATTTAACTCGTCAAATCTCTTCAAATTATCGCACCAAACGTAAAAAGGAGCAACTTCAAGATAAAATTAATGATTTGAATGCTGAAATCAGTGATTTGAACAAACAGAATTCTCAATATCAAGCAGCTTTAGGTGAAGTGAAAAATGTTCGTTGGGGTGACGATACTCCAAACAACCCTACAAAATTAGCCGAAGCTTTTATCGACTTGCAATCTACGCTTGAAGATTTTACTTTAGTACAAGGCGAAGATTACGAAATTAATGTGTCAGAATCATCTGGTCTTTTAAATCATCTAAATTGTAAAGAAAAATTGTCTTCGATACAAGGTAAACTAGTACTAAGTGCGATTTTTCAACGACGCATCATTGAAATAGTTTTGCGGGAAATACACTCATGTTTCATTCCAAGCACAGAACCCGAGATTGCAAAAAATTCCGACGAAACACTAGAAGTTGATATTGTTAATGCTGCTGATGTACTAATTAGACTCACGAAAAAATTCGCTGATTCACGTTCTGGTAATGATGATATTACAAGAATGGTTTCAATCAAAGTACGTCAGCAAGTTTACGCGGCACTTGGAGTTCGAGGGCTCTCCGATCCAAATCATCCCTTTATCAAAAAAATATCTACCAAATTAGTTACCTATCTTTCAAGATATCGTCAAATTCGAAATGAAGAATTAAACTCGGACTTGGAAGAACAGGCAATTAAAATTACTCAAGAAATCATTAATCTCTTTTGTTTTAAATCAAAAGCACAGCCAATTATTCCAGAATATGAATTTTTTGAGAGTGGTCAGGCTGTGGATGTTAGATATATGCAGGGATTTTTGAGAAAAGAAGATCCGAAGAAATTGGAAGTTGAAATTTGTTCATTTCCATTAATTAGTATTCCTGGTGATGATAAAAATAAAAGAGTTTTGATTAAGGCTCATGTCATTACTAGAAAAAAAAATTCTAGTTAATTCGTTTAATGTCTTAAAGTTATTCAATAGCTTGTAGGTATTTTATTATTTATTTTTTAATTATTTTTTTAAGTATAATAAAATTTAAATTCTGGATAAAAAAAAATGGTTGGCTAAGTGGTTCATTTATTCCTAATTAAGTACGTAAATCGTTGTTTTGGAAGTGACATTGTTTTTCCCCTTAATTTGGATAGGCATAACAAGAAATATGCGTAACACGTTTGTGAAATATGCGTTACACGTTGCGAATGTTATAAATGTTCTTGTTCATACATATCGTTACTAAGAGAACTTCTTCCCTAATAATAATTCTCTAATAATGCAAAAATGTTTATATTGCGCACAAAAAGATCCGGATTTAGATCCAGAAGATGGAATTCCAAGTGAATATTGCTCGGATGAATGCCGTCGTAATGCTCTAAGTACTGAATTTACCACTCCATGTATTACCTGTGGCGAATTTCCTAGAGTCAAACTCAGCCAATATTGCGGTTGGACTAAATGTAGAAATCTAAAACTTTGCAAAAAATGTGAAGTACGTATTGCTTTAAAATAGGAATAATATTTTAAGATTTAATTTATACTAATTAAATTTTTTTTTTATAATAGATAAATATTGTGACCATCGCAAATTCATTCTGGTGTTCAAAGAAATGCAGGAACGAAACCCCAGATTGGGGTTTGATGATAAAAAGTGATGAATTATGTCTTCAATGTGAAGAAAAATATACATGTTTTGGCAAAGATTTTTGCAGTGATGAATGTTTACGTTGGGTTGAAGAAAATGGCGAGTACTGTTTAAAGATATTTTTTTCATCCAATTTTTTAAATTTTATATTAAATTTCAATTTATGTTTATGGAATTAGCCCCATTTATATTTCAAATTTCAAATAAAAGCAAAAAATTCAATGATATAACAAATCAATTTACTTCTTCATGGAATCACAAGTACAAAGCAACTCCATCAGTACATGCTGTGTATAAAATATTCCCAAACAATGAAATTATTACCAGATATAACAAGTATCGTGATCATATTGAGTCATTACGTAAATGTGAAGGAAAGCAATTCCCAAAAGGAAATGGGCAAAGATTGATGACTAAAGGAAATGAACAAAGAAGATTTCATGGAACTAGAATGTATATACAGTAACTAAATCTTTTTTATTTATTTCCCATACTTAATTATTATATTAATTTTTTATACTAATTTTTATTGATAAATAACTTTTCCATCCGTTTTGGTCATTTTAAAGGAAATGTTTATTAGGAATATCTTCTGATAACATATGCTATGATACAACTTGTGCTTTATGCAACATAATTTCAAATGGTTATAAACTCTCGTACAATGGAATTAATTTTCCCTGTCAAAAGTTTGGCCCTGGATTATATTTCTCAGGTACCTCATCAAAATCTGATTATTTTAGTAAAGATTCTTATCGTAAAGACTCTGCAAACGAAAATGACAAATTTTATAAAGTGATGTTTTTGACTAAAGTAGTTGTTGGAAGAGCATATGAAATGTTGGAGGAAAATACAAGTATGAAAGGTCCTCCACAAAATTATGATAGTGTTGTTGGAGAACCTAATAAAGATGGAAAATTAAATTATGATGAATTGGTAGTATATCAAGAAGAAGCATGTCTGCCGCAATATTTGATCGTTTATGAAAAACCAGAAAATATATTGTAATTAAAAATGAGTTCCATTGACAACGTAATTTTTAATAAATGTGATTTGGATAAAAGATAAATTTAAATTTATAATATGCATTTATTTAGAAATATTAGAAATATTAATAAATTTTGTCGCAGCTTCAAAAGCTAAGACATAATTAAACTCTGCAGACCATTTGTCTTATCCTGTACAGTAGCAGTTATTAATAATTCTCCAAATTTCAGATCAAATTCAACAGGTCGATTAGTACCCAGATGTGTGTCTGAGAATTAAATTCTTAATTTTCCAACGTCATTCATTCCAGATTTTTTGATTAGATTTAGATGTGGCAAATACTTTGAATAAGATAGCAGTTTGATCAGGGTGAATTGGATAGAAGAAACTAAACATGTTTCTTCGGGTGTGACAATTATTCCTCGTTTTTTCGATCTTCAAGATCGATACCTTGTATTTTACGTCTATTTTATTACGATAATTATCAACTAATTATTAGGATGTAAGGAACTTATTTACCATAGTTCATAGTTGATTTCGATTCGCTACAGCCTTTTTATTTAACCCATACATTACGGAACCCCGGAGAACAGTATTTGGCGGAACTGCAATTAGAGAAGCTTTATCAGAAAATCTTTCTTCGATCATTTTATCAAATATGCTAATTCGGCGAATCTACTATCCACAAACATTGTGTAGCATTTTTGTCTTGAAGAATTTTTATCAGTGAGAGAATTCTTTCTAACACTGGATGAAGCATTTTAATAACATCATAAAATAAAATTTCAATAAGCCAATCTTCTTCTTTCTCCATCTCGTCTTTAATTTCTTGGCTGACATAATCAATAAGTGCTGGACACCACTTTTCGATGTCCAATTCAATAATTTTGAATTCTGCTGGATCACCATTGAATAAAAAATTTGATATATGGGCAGAAGAATTCACGAATCATGTATTGATATTGTTCATAATGTTTATTCTGAAGTTTCATTAGAGCACTTTTTCCAAGTTTCTTTTCTAAAAAAAGCTTCTAAAATTTTTGTCAACACATGTGCTTCCACATAGGTCACCAGTACGTTCAGTGTCCTCACTAATACAATCACCCTCAGGAAGAGTCCGCATTGTTAGATTGCAATACCTCCTCCACGATCGACAATTAAAAATGTGTCTATAATTAAAATTTATATTATTAATTGCGTATATCATATAATCTCAATATTTGTTACAAACCTCCAACATCCAGTTTACATTCTCCTGATTTTTTCATTCAATATAATGCTAATGCAAATTTATAATTATAATGACATTGCGACATGAGAGATTACAATGTAAACTTTATAAAGAAAATTAAACACGTTCTGTCGTAAATTCTAAATTGATTCGAATGCCTTTATCGAGGTAAATACAATCCTGTAGAATTCCAATTGTATGAGGTTTCCTATTATACAAAAATTAAATTATTGTAAAATCTTATGACTTCATGCATTATTAACTGAAAGGAATAGAGTTTATCATTCAGCAAGTACAAAGAATACGAAAAGAACATGTGAAAACTTGATAGCAGGCAGCCAACGAATTAACTAAAAAATATTAATAATAAACCACGTGATAAAATTACTAATTCTTTACGGAAATGTCGGTTAAATGTAATTTAAACAATTCTACAGTTTTATAGTGGGTGCCAACGTGTCTCCTTCTCCTTCTCAATCCAGAATCTTGTACCAATGCTAGAAAGCCTCCCAATTTACTAAATTCCAACCACTATCGTATTGGATAACAGTCTTTGTAATTATTTTTCTTGAATTTTTTAATCTAAACCTTAAATAAGTTTTCAAAAGTTGTTAACGTGAATTACTGAAAAAAAATAAAACCAAATTTATAATTACCAAGAATCATGAACGGTTATATATAGATTAATCGTACTAATATTATTCTAATTAACAAGTACAAAATTTCTTTTTATTCGATTTTCCTAAAAAAAATTTAACATATTATCATTTCACTTTAAGCATGAGCAAATCCTTAATTGATAAAATGCAAAATTTAGTCAAATTTTATTCGATAAAAGCGAATTCCAAATTGAATAAAAAGCATCATATCTTACCAGAAAATGTCGTTCCAAAGTCTTTTACAATTAAAGTTTTCGAAATTTTAGTTAGTTATGACATTTAAATTAATTTTATCAGTAAAATCTCTTTCAACTCGCGCAATCGTCCAAATAAATTGAATTTGTTCAAATTAATATCTTAATGAGGAACGTTTAAGAAATGATTACGTGCGAAATCGTAGAAATAAAACAATTGAATTTGTTGGCTTCATCCTCATTTGGGATAAATCAAATAAGGTGCAACCAGAAAACATTTTGTGATTTAAAATTAAATTTATATGAATTTGTTGCACAATAAATTCAAAGACTATAACTCTTTCTAAAAAAGAATTCTTTAAATAAACCAATAAAAATAATTGAACTCTGAAATTTAATATACATTTTTTAAGTAAAAAGCTTTGAATCTATAGATTAAAATAATTATATTCGCCCCATTTTTCAGCTATAAAAAATCATATGACTAATAACCATGAAATTTCGGAAATTTCGGAAATTTCGGAAATTGTGACAAGATAACAAAAAACTATAGCTTATAGACACAAATTTATATTAGGAAAATTGATTCTCGCTTTGCATATATATTTTTAGTCTTGCTTTGATTAACTGTTAAAGAATTATAAAAAATCTATTATCCTCCCCAAAAATCGCTTTTGTGTACTACAACCTTGTTAAGTATCCACGCAGTACCGAATTAGGTTGATAAAATGCATTGGGATGGAGTCTACAAATGTTTTCACGTGTCATCCAAATTATTTTTCAAAATCCCAAATACTATATATCAAATTCCAAATTATTTGGGCAACGTGTATACGTACAATGTAAAGTTCAGTTGCACTTTGTAAAATGAAATGCACAGAACGAATTTCATCCCTTCGATTGTTTTGTTGAAGATAATTTGTAATATATGTCAATTATGATTTGGAGAAATAATGATTACAAGATCAAAAATTTTCAACCTTATCAAGTTGTTTGGAAAAGGATTAGTTAACTCCAATGGCTTGGATAAAATCATGCATTACTCCTCTATGCTATTCCCTTCGTTTTCTGGTGGATAAATTGCTATGTGGATATAATGGCACGTGAAATCTATATATTTGTTTTGATTTATCAATATCGTTACCACCTTTGTTACATCTGTACATAAACATAATGAGGTAAGATTCCTTTTAATCTATTTTAATCCGTTGAATAAATAAATAATAAAACAATCCAATCGAATAGTTAATAATCAAAATATTTAACGTTACCTTCTAGAATTAGGATGATTCTTTCAAATAAATAATAGTTTCATAAACCCTAATTCACATGAATTTTATTTTCGCCTAACCCTAACAATCTTTGAAAGAAATATATATAGGTATCATTTATAGTATGCCCATTTAAAAATTAATACACTGTAAATAAATTCTCTCTTCTAAAATTTGAATTAATCTCAAAGTTAAATATCAAAAATTTAAGCTTTAAATATGACCAAAATATACAAATCGATATAACTCGTATATTTCATTAATTAACAAAAATTAAATATATTAAATATTAAGAACTATGATTATAACACATGTACAAATCATTAAAATATATTTTATCGTATTAACTGACAGATAAGCAAGAAAGCTATTCAATTATTATATAAATATTAGAACTGAATTTTTTTATAAAAAAATAAACTTGAATTTATTTAGAAAAAAAAAAGAAACCTAACCATCATGGTTTTCTTCAATGAAACCAATAATTGATAACAATAATCATATTTTACTTCATCTGAAAGATTAATTTTTCCTTTTTCTTAATGTTGAAATAACTTATCTTGTCATTTTTTTTTCACAACAAAATTGATTAAAGAATTTCATACAGAAAAAAGGATGCCAATAATCTGTTATTACACGATGTTAATATGTTGTATAAAATGAACAAAAGAAATGCATATTTCTGTGATCATATGTAATCAATGATAGTTACTAACCAAGTATTCAGAAGAACAAACTCTTCCTGAATCATCAGCACAAACTACGACAAGATATACTTATCAAAAGTAGATAAATATAACTTCTCTTCTAAAAATCATATTAGATAAATCGAAAAAGGTAAAGAAATAAGAAAATTATTTTTTTTCAGGACGTTTGTTAAAAAATATTTATATTTAATTTGTAAACATAAAAAAAAATAAAGAGGAGATTTCGTTAAAAAAAATAATTAAATTATATTGTTGCACTAATATGTGGACAAGGGTCTGAAGGATAACTAATATTCTTTTACTAAACTAACTTGAACTACTTAAATAATTCTCAGAATTTCTCAAGAATCACTAAGATCAACTCAATTCAATTATTTAATAGTGAATTCGAATAAATATTACAAGGTGAGTTCTTTATTGTGCAGGGTTTTAGCACATCAAATCAGCTTGTTCGCTTAATAAGATGTATATGCTAAAGAATATTTATACAAGATTAACTCAGGTTTTATTTATAATTACATGACAAATTAACAAATTAAAGATTTATTGGAATATTTAATACAATATGACTTTATTAATAAATATATTAATAAATATAAAGATAAGATATAATATAAAAATAGAAATTATAAAAGTAAAGGTAAATATTAAAGGATTAAATTATATATTAACTAGAAGATATAACTTTGTTCTAGTCTCTTAAAATATTGAGAACTATAAAACTTCTTAACTCCCCTTTCCCAGGTCAGGGAAGATTCATATTTATATTCCTTTAATTTGCTACACGCAACGATCTACCAAATTAATGATTTACCAATTTTAGCAAGAGGTAATCAACCTGGTGATCCACCTGTTACATGTAACAAGTAATTTACCTAAGTGATTTACCTGGTAGTCAACCTGGTGAGCCACCTGTTACATAATCTTCAATTAATATAAATTACAAATAAATAATAAATACATTAAATAATAATATAATAAAAATAAATAAAATTAATTTTCTATAACATTTCTTCCTTAATATTGAACTCCTGCGAAATACTCTATATTTTGAGAAAGTTGTTCTCTACATTTTTAAATAAAATAATCAAAGTCTACACTAGTTAAATGATATAACCAATTAGAGGTAATATATCTAAATTGAGAAATAAGAAATTCTCCAAGCACAGACAATAATTTTTGTGCTCTATTTACAATAGTTAAAAATCGAGTACCATTTTAACCAGTTATTTGTTGGACTTCTTGTCTCAATTGTTTCATAGTTAATTGTCATTCAACAAGATCTCTTGATAATAAAGACCAGGATTTCGAGTATGCAAAGAGTCGTTGTCCATTTGTTTTTGTGGTATTAATGGCAACACTTACAAGAGATAAAATATCTTCTTTATTATATAATTCGAGGTCAAGGTCAACTTCAGTATTGCATGTATCTTCAATATATCTATTAAAGTTTTGAAGTCATGTTCGTCGATAATGAGTAGGAATTGTTAAAGAGATTTGTTGAAAACTACTTTGTACAATAATTCATGTAGAGGTCATTTGTATATTAACAGAAGTGTAATCTAATTGTAAACTTTAATAGAGTTCTAATAATCTAGCACATTGAATTTCTGAAAGTTGAAGTTCCATGATTTGAAAAATTTTACAGAACTTGAGAAAAATAAGGTCCTTTATATAATAAATTTTGTGTCTAGGTATTTAATTAATCTTTAACTAATTTGAAGTGATTATTATACAAAGTTTTACAAGATACCTTTGTTTATAATATTTTAATCTCTCTGCATGAACAGGATTAGGTAATGTATTACCAATTTTATCTCTTATTAGGTAAACCTTATTATCTAACTTCTTTTCAATTCAAAATGGTCCTGTTCATTTAGGATTAAACTTTTGTCCATGCACTTGTCTTTTAGCAGAATTATATAATAATACGATATCATTTTCGTGATACTTGTGAACTTTAGTCAAATGTTTTTGTCTTTCCTTTTGTAACTCTTGTGCACTTGTTATATTTCTTGAGGAGATTATGAGTACATCAATGAAGGTTCCTATTAAAGAACT